TTATTATTATTATTATTATTATTATTATTATTATTATTATTATTATTATTATTATTATTATTATTATTATTATTATTATTATTATTATTATTATTATTATTATTATTATTATTTTATTATTATTGGAAAGGGATCATAAAAAAGGGAAAGGGGAGAGGGGAGACCAGCCTCTGGGGATGGGAGCAGTAGGAGAGAGGAGAGAGGGACAGAGGGACACACAGAGAGAGACAGAGACAGAGAGAAGGAGGATGGGAGGTGGGCAGGGCCTTTTTATTTTTTTATTTTTTTTAGTTTTTTGGTTTTTCGAGACAGGGTTTCCCTGTGGCTTTGGAGGCTGTCCTGGAACCAGCTCTTGTAGACCAGGCTGGTCTCAAACTCACAGAGATCTGCCTGCCTCTGCCTCCCGAGTGCTGGGATTAAAGGCAAGGCGTGCACCACCACCGCCCGGCTGGGCAGGGCCTTTTTAAAAGGGAACATAGTGAATGTGCACAGGTGGTGCTCTTAGTGGCTGCAGCTGAGGGTGGTATCCTGTCAGGACCCCAAGGGCAGACAAGTACAGATGCCTGAATACTAATACTCAGTCTTGTCCAAGAAGAGATTTAAGAAGCTTTGCCTCAGTTCTATTTCAGCCCTCAAGTATCTGGTTTTTAAAATTATAATCTCTCTGTCTCTGTCTCTGTCTCTGTCTCTCTCTCTCTCTCTCTCTCTGTGTGTGTGTGTGTGTGTGTGTGTGTGTGTGTGTGTGTTGTGAGAGTGGAGGTCCGAAGACAATGTTGTATCTCTCTCAGTGTGTGTGTGTGTGTGTGTGTGTGTGTGTGTGTGTGTGTTGTAAGTGTGAGCGTGGAGGTCAGAATAATGCTGGTGTCGTTCTTGGCCTCTCACCATCTTTGCCACAGCTACACCAGGCTAGCTGACCTTGAGAGTTCCCAGGAATTCTCTTGTCTTCACCTCCAATCTTACCATATAAACTCTGGGATTACAGGTGTACATATTAGGCTTTTGTGCCACAAACCCCTTACCCACTGAGCCGTCTCTACAGACCTGGTGTCTGCCTTTGGAATCGCCCAAACCATGGAAGTCTACCCTTCATGGAAATGGGAAGCACAAGCTGGGCTAGAGGCTGCATCCCACTGCAGAGAGAGGAGTCAAGCACTGCACCCTCGAATGTTCTCCAAGGAGACTTCCCTCCAGTTGTGACCGCTGGGAATGAATATGTCTGCCAAAGTCAGGGCCCACTCACTAAGTACTTCTGTCATTACTGCCAATACTCTCCCATCACCAAAATGCCTCTGTTACAATACAAGGCCGAGGGGAAAGGACTATTTCCTTTAACCTTTTCCCTTTGAGACAGACTTTCATGTAGACCACTGTTGGTTTTGACTATGTCATGGAGCCAAGGATGAACTTGAACTTGTGTGTGTATGATGACTATATGTATGTTGCTATGGTGAGTGTGGTAATTAGAGGACAACCTTGGGTGTTGGTGGTTGCCTTCTGCCTTGTGTGTGCCAGGCTAGCTGGCCAGAGAGCATTTGCATACCCTCCCATCTCTGCCTCCCTCATGACCACAGCAGCACTGGGGTGACAGTGCCCATCTTTTATGTGGTTCTGGGTGTTTGAACTCAGGTCTTTACGCTTGCCTAGCAGGTGCTTTGCTAAGACATCTCCCTAGCTCCCACCCTTTTTTGAATCAAAATCTCATATAGTTCAGGTTGACTTCAGAGTTACTAACCGGTGGAAAATGACCTTGAAATTCTGATTCCCCTGCCTCCACCTCCTGAGAGCTGGGATTATAAGTGTGTACCACTAGTCCCATTTAGCAGAGGCACTAGGGGTGGAACCCAAGATAGCCTTCATGCTAAACAAGGGCTCTACTGACTGAGCTACATCCTAAACCCAATAATTACATATGAATTTATATATAAATTATATATTATAGGTATAATCTCAGACATTCTCCTGCCTCTGCCTCCCAAGTGCTGGGATTAATGGCATGCACCACTACTGCCCAGCTCAATGAAAATATTTTTTAAAAATTTAAAGAAACTGAATTACCTAGACAGAATTTTAATAGGGTGCTCATGAATATTTTGGTTGAAATTGATCAGCTCTGAGAAGAGGTATGTATAGTAAAAGTGATTTTTTTTTTAAAAAGAAATAAGTGCCAAGGTTTTCAAGCTCTCAACCCTTTCCCTGAAGCCCATTCCCCAGCTAAGCACTTTGAGAGTGATGACTGCAACCCTGGGACACCAGATAGCATCAGAGGGAGGGGTGCCCCAGGCTTGTACAGGAAATGGAGCTCCATCCCTGGCCTTGGGGAGCCTCTTGCCTGGTGATCAGACCACATTCCTGTGACTTGCGAATCATCTGTTGTGTGTACAGATTTAGATATAAGATGCTCATGTGCTGTGCTGTGTGGAACAGCTGGCGAAAACCCCAGTGCACTCGGTGGGAAGACAAGAGGAATCTCTGAGTTTTGAAACTCAAGAATACTGCAGAAAACTGATCCATGAGGGAAACTTTCCTGATTAAGTTTTCCAAAAAGCAGGTAGGAGAAATTTTACATATTTATAATTTTCCCTCTTAGCTTTGGGTATTTTTAGCCTCGAAGGCACGCCGTGTGAGTTATTTGGGAGCAGAGGGAGACTCTATTCTGAGAAGAAATATTACATAGCCAGGTTTATCAGGGGAGCTCACTGTGGAAGAAGCGGGCTTCCTAGAGCAAACGGGATGCAGAGAGTGTGGACCAGTTCAACCTGGGAGGGGAAGAGAAGCTTGGAGAAGTCCCCTGTACGACACTAGAACAGTGCTGCCTGGTCAACATGGAAGGTGGCAGGTAGGGAAATGAACAGAGCAAATGAAGGCTTGATGTAGCACATTAAACCAAGAGCTTCAAACCCTTCAAAGTTTGGTCAGGTGTGAGGAGTGATCCTGTGCAGTTTGTGTCTGTGGAGCTGTTGGTCTTGGACTGGCCTTGAACTCACTTTGTGGCTCAGGATGGCCTTCAGCTTCTGACCTTCCTTGTCCTGGCATACAGGTGCGCACTATGATGCATGGTGGGCTTTGTGCAAGCTAGGCAAGCATCCTATTAGCTGAGCTGTATCTCCGGAGCTCTTAATTGTCTTTCTTGACTCTTGGTTCTGGGCAGAAATACTGGACTGTTCTCTCCTGAGAATCTAAAGGCCCAGAAGTGATGATACACATATTAGGTAGAAGACAAGCTCGAGAAGAGGTGGAGACACACACCTGTTTTCATTGTCCTCAATACACTGCCCTAGGTAGAAATGAAGTTGAGGATTCAGAGTCTAACATCAAAGATGGCACACTTTGCTTCTACAGGTCAGGGAAGAACTCATGGATTCGCTGCAGACATGCGGAAGAAGTGTTGGCCATTTCAGAGAGATTGTCCCATTAAAGTCCCTGACTGTTTACCAAGCAGCATAGAGAGGCTACTGCAAAACATGGCAAGGCATCTGTCTACAGAACTCCTGTCAGACATCTGGACCAGTGTCTTGTGTTAAGGTCAGAAGGTCAGATCTGTGTAAAACCCCAAAGAAATATTTTCTCACTCTCTTAAGGTTGGAATGGTCTCACTTGGTTTAAGAAATGAGGTTTGTGGTTAGAGAGATGTCTCAGTGGTTAACAGCACTTGCTGCTCTTGCAGAGGACTGGAGTTCAGTTCCTAGTTCCCATATTGGCCAGCTAACAATCACCCATAACTCCAGATCCAGGATTTGTGACACTCTTTTCTGGACTCCCTAGGCACCCACAATTATACACATGCACACACACACACACACACACACACACACACACACACAATTACATAGACAGACACACACAGGACAGCATGCTTTTTGAGTCAGAGAACAACTTTTAGGAGTTGATTCTTTCCTTCCACCATGTGGTCCAGGGGATTGAACTCAAGTAGTCAGGCTCGGTGAGTCATCTCGAAGGGTTTAAGATACATTTAAAAATAATCTGCAGTGTCTGTCTAATTTCTGAAGTTTTCTGAGAGACTGCTCCAAGAGAAAAGGAGAAAGAAACAAAAGACAAAAAATAAAGAGGACAAGCTAATGTTGAGCTGACACAGAACATACAGTGCGGTTCTGAGCCCTGGACAGAGAAACCCACCATGATTACAATGTAGCTTCCAGCCCAGAGGCTGGTTCTGCAAAATGTTTTGCTCCTGCTTTTTAGAACTCAGTGGTGAGTCCATAAAAATGTCTGCAACCCAGATGAGGCTGTTGAATTCTAAAAAGAAAAAAAAAAGAAAAAGAAAAAATGGACAGGAAAGAGGAGTGATTTACTGGAGTATGTCACTGGCTTTGTTTTTTTGTTTTATTTTTCTTTTCTAATCCCCAGGCCCACAACTGCCTGTCTCATTGAATCTTGATTTGTATTTGTCTCTCATGAATGTGAACATCCATTCCCCCAGCAGAAATGGGAAATAGCTGTACACATATAAGTCAGGGAACACTCATAAATAACAATCATTTACTGGGCTGGGGGAAGGGTGACCTTTGGGCCTCAGAACTGCTGGCAGCAACATTGACATTTTTTGCAACTAAAGGAGTATTTACATTGATTTTTGTTGTTGTTGTTTAAAATGATTGTTTTAAGGTAAAATTCATAGTTTAAAAAAACCAGTGCATCAGAGCTTATGGAGTGGTATTAAATTAAAATGCTGTGGTTCTTACTAGCTTTATATTTTTAAGATTAAAACTTAAAATATCAGCCGGGCGTTGGTGGCTCATGCCTTTAATCCCAGCACTTGGGAGACAGAGGCAGGCGGATCTCTGTGAGTTCGAGGCCAGCCTGGTCTACAGAGCGAGTTCCAGGACAACCTCCAAAGCAATACAAGAGAAACCCTGTCTTAAAAAAAAAAAAACAAACAAAAAATTAAAATATCATGGTGTGTATGTGTGTCTGCATGTATGAGTATCAAGTTGCTTGAAGATGTCCTGGGAGACCAGAAGAGGGCATTGGATCACCTGGAGCTGAAATTCCAGGCATTCGGGAGCCGTCCAGTATGGGTGTTTGGAACCGAACCTGTGTCCTCTGCAAAATCTGCATGTGCGACTTGCTGCTGAGCCATCCGAGCAGCCCCATACCTCCATTTCTTTGCCCCAGTGGTAGCCACTTAAGAATGTGTGGTGATATATTGTTTATGATTTATTAAAGCCACTGGAGATCAAAATAGCAAAAGCAGCCATGCTAGTTAGCTACAGAAGCTAGGAGGTGGTGAAACACACCTTTAATCCCAGGACTCAGGATTAAGAGGTAGATGGATCTCTATTAGTTCAAGTCCACCCTGAGTACACGAAATTGATTCAGTCCTAAAAGCACAGCTCACACAAAGGTGATACTCAGTTTGAAGCCTGAACGCCAATATCAGTCTCTGGGTCTTTTATTTTTCATGTTACAGGAATGATCAGTTTTAGGTTGAACAAGCCATGCCTATTTTATTGTGAGTATTTCAAACCATGTAGAAAGCTAGAATCTGTCCTGACCATCCCCCCGGTGCAGTCCTTCCATCAGAGGCCAGCACTGTTAGCAGCACTTGCAGCTTTGTGATCTTCACAGGTTTGCTACAGTACACCACATTAGTTATCCTGCTACTTGCTTTTTGTGACTTAAGGAAAAGTGTCAGATATTTTCCATTCCAGTGCATGAAGAGTCCATTTGGCTATTTTAAACTGCCATCTAATATGACTGTGATACTCTTCTTGGTTGTCAACTTGGCTACATCCGGAATAATTAAAACACAAGTGGCTGGCTACACCTGTCAGGGATATTTTTCTTTCTTTCTTTCTTTCTTTCTTTCTTTCTTTCTTTCTTTCTTTCTTTCTTTCTTTCTTTCTTTCTTTCTTTCTTTCAAGACAGGGTTTCTCTGTACGTCTGTCTGTCTCTCTCTCTCCTCTCTTTCTTTGCTGGTTTTGTTTTTGTTTTTGCAGACATGGTTCTCGGAGTAACCTCAGTTGTCTTGGAACTCCCTTTGTAGACCAGGCTCAAACTCAGAGATTCACCTGTCTCTGCCTCCCAAGTGCTGGGATTAAAGGCATGTGCCACTACTGCCTGGCTGAGGGATATTTTCTTAATTAAACCATTTGAAGTGGGGAGACGAAAAAACCGGATCTTTTGAGGTGAGAAGATATACTTTAATCTGGGCCATACCTTCTGCTGGCAGCCTATATAAAGGGCATGGAAGAAGGAAGATGGGTCTCTCTTTGCCTGCTTGCTCTTGTTCTCACTGGCAAGTCCATTCCTTCACTGGCATTAGAGCCTGCTTCTTTGGGGTTCCAGCATATCCTGAAGAACCAGCCAACATATCCAGCCTCATGGACTGAACAACTACTGGATTCTTGGACCTTCTGTTGGTAGACAGCCATTGTTGGACTAGCTGGACTGCAGCCTGTCAACCAGTCTAATAAATGTCATATATATATATATATATATATATATATTCATTCAATCAATTCTGTACCTTTAAAGAACCCTAACTAATATAATGAGTAAATATGATTATTTGTTTACTAACAACAAACATTTATATATTTTCTTTTTTCTTCATTTTTGCTATGGAGCAAGGAACTGCAATATTACCTCTACTTGCTGGTATATATGTGGATACTTTCTTTAGAATATATGTTTTACAAAAGCATATACATTTTCAGTTCTTCTGTTTAGTCACCATGATCATTTGGAATAATATGCTAGGTTTTACTCTTTGTCATGAGACAGGACCTTGTTGTGCAGCCCAGGCTGGAATTCTCTGTGTAGCTCAACCTGCCTTAGCCTTCTGTGTGCTGGGATTACAGGTTTGTGCCATAGTGGTCAGCCATGTGTTTCTTGGTTTCCATCTTCTCAGTTGTCAAACAGATTGCATTTCTTTTTACCTCATTACACTCTAGAAAACATGCTGCATTTTGGTTTAAGTTGTAGGCAGAGGATAAATCCACGATGAGGCCATCTCACCTCTTTAACTTTTATTTCTTTTTTCTACCTCCCCTTCTCCTTCCCTCCCTCCCTTCTCCAACCCTCCTTGCCCCCTCCATTTCTTCCTTCTCTCCCTCTCTTTTTTCTCTTTCTTTCTCTCTGTTCTCTATCTGTCTCCCTCTGTCTCCCTCCCCTTTCTCTCTGTTTTCTCACCCCTTCCCCTCTTTTCCTTTGGTTCCTGATTTCTTTCTGACCTGTCTTGCTACAGCTCCCTCTAATGAAGGTCTGTATTTACCTGCAAATAAACTTTTTTTTTCCAGAAAGTCATCACATTCTCTGCTCCAATTCTCTTTCATGTACCTTTAGTCATGTCTGAGGAGGAATTTGGAGAAAGGAATATAAATACATGAGTTCCATCATCTATCTTAAGGCAAACAAGGTGGGAAAATGTAAAAGTCCTGTTGTTTCTTTTTTTAAGATTTTATTTATTTATTATGTATACAACATTCTGCTTCCATGTATATCTGCACACCAGAAGAGGGCGCCAGATCTCATAATGGATGGTTGTGAGCCACCACATGGTTGCTGGGAATTGAACTCAGGACCTCTGGAAGAGCAGTTGGCACTCTTAAACTCTGAGCCATCTCTCCAGCCTCTCCTGTTGTTTACTTAAGTTATTTCAGTATTGTATGGCCTACAGCTTGAGCAAACAAGGCAACACTTAGCTTTTCAATTAGCTGGAGACAGATAAAAGGACCTATAATCCAATCTAACAAATTAAACCGAAAACTCTCATAGAAATGCCATTTATCACTGATTTTGTTACAGTCTAAAAAGCATGGCCTCTTGGTCAACTCTCAGTCCTGACTAATAAGGGGTAGGGTCCAGAGAAGACCCCTTAGCCAGAGGGGTTAGTTTTGTAGTAACACATCCTTCATTAGGCTGTCCCAGAGAGCTCTACAGGAAGTAACTAGAGGAAAAGCATGATTAAGACTTAGGAATCCAGTATCCTGACACTTCATAGCTCTGTGATGTTTCAGTACTTAACCTCTTAAACTGTGGCTTCCTTGTTTACAAAGCAGGCATCGTTATGGTGCCCATCTCACAGGACTGTGAGGCACATTTAGAGCCCTGAGTTCAATGACGACGCGCTACAAGCATCCGTCCAATGCATGTTTTGGTAACAAACCTTGCCTTCTGAATCCAAACAGTGCTCTATGGGAAACTCCAGAGGAAGGAAGAAATTGTTCCCCACTGCCAGGTTTATGGTCTAAGGTGAAGCTATAGCCAATGTTTTTCTCTACAGTGTTTCACATATGGTAAAGATTTAATAGTTATCTGTTGGCTAAATGATTAGTTTCCTGCTCCAGTTGAAAAGCGTGGCTCCTCCTTTCCAGAAATACGCAGAGAGAGACAGACATTATGTAAACAAGTACTGACCATATTTAATCACAGGTCACTCATGACACTTCATTCAACTGATTAATAAAGATGCATCAATGGCACATAGCTTTGATCCCAGAATTGGGGGAGGGGGGAGGTTAGGCAGGCAGATCTGTGAATTCTAGGTCAGCCTGCTCTAC